GCTTTGATTGGGGGTGACAGACTCATCTATCACAGAATTAAACGGTATTATCGTGAAATCTGGCGCGCGAGAATCAAAGCACCACAGGACGAGAATACATGAACGTCCAGTGCGACCTTGACACTTTGACCTTTATGTAGAAAAATAATGAACTGTTAAAACTCACTGATTTTTTTAAAAATTCCGTTGAAATTACTCAGAGATTAGCTCAATTTATTTGTCTTTTGTAATAAATAAAAACAATAAAAGTAATGATAGTGTTATTTTTATATATGCCTATTTCACATGTTTACTTTTAGTGAGTGTATTTAAAATACGAATTTCGCTAATTGAAAGATTGTATAAAATAAACTATTGATAAATTAGAACAAGCTGGTCACATCCAAAGGCTTTTTTCCTCAACACCTTGTCAAAATCACTTGTTAGACCAATTACTAAAATCACAAGTTGGACGAATGACCAAAATAAACACTTGTTGGATGAATGACCAAAATCACATGTTGGACGAATGACCAAAACCATTGGTTGGACGAATGACCAAAACCATTGGTTGGACGAATGACCAAAATCACTTGTTGGACGAATGACCAAAATCACAAGTTGGACGAATTACCAAAACCACATATTGGACGAATTACCAAAATCACTTGTTGGACGAATGACCAAAACCACATATTGGACGAATGATTAAAATCACATGTTGGACGAATGACCACAGTCACATGTTGGACGAATAACATAAGTTCTAAGATCGATAGAATGTAGTACTATGTGGAGACTGGGAAAAAAAAGGATTAAAAAGTCTTTATGTTTATGTAATTTATATTTAATAGGGATTTTCTAACTATGAAAAAAAAATCATTACTGCAAAATTTTACAAGACAAATATAGATTCTAATACATTTTAAAATGGTATTCCTGATGATAATGGAAAGAAATGATCTTTATTTTTGTCATTTCATGAGTTTAAGAAATCACTCTTTAATTTATAGTTGGAGCTAAAAAATATCCCATCAGCTGGTAAAAGTAATCCGTTGAGTTAATAAATTTACCTTTGCGTACATTTATTTGCCAGTAAGTCTTTCAGCCTCACCGCCCACACAAAACGTGATTTACACTTTGATCACAATTCAGCATTGCTCGATGAATATATTATGTTTTTTTTTCCTATCTTTAAAGTAAATTTTTTTTTACCAGGACGCTTTGAAGCAAAACATTAACTGTTTTTTAGAATATCTGCAACAACAAAAACAAATAATCCAGTCAGTTAAAAAAAGTTATGGAATAAAAATATTTTAGCATAGCTCTAAATTGTATTTTTTTTCCCAGATTTTTTTGTTCCTGTGAATAAAGATCAGGAGCTGTGTGATATTCTTTTTCTCTGATTGTTATTTTTACAAAGACATTGGGTAAAACATTGTACAATATATTTTGTGGTTTAAGAATTTTTTTGTAAAACACATTTGCTTGTCTTATTTCTTGTTTAAATGTATTTTTTTTTTCAGATAACTGACAAAACTTAGAACAATAAAAGAACGGGATAGCTGTGTTCGTTGGCATTCAGCCTCGATGGAGAAACGTTGAAAAAAAACAACTTTTATTACAACAATGTTCACATAAAACTAAAGCAACAAAGCCTCAGTATTGCTTACATTGGTGGGTTCCATATGCGTGCTGTCTTTTCTTCGTTTGAACTATATATTCTGCTTTTAATCATATTAATTTATAACACCATTTAAACATTAAGATATTATTATTATTATTGTGTTTGTTTACATTCTTTAGTATGAGATTGTTTATTCACTCATATTTTAAATGTGGTGACATATACATGTGAGAGGTATAACAACCACTGTAGCCCGTCACAAGCCCAGGTGAAAGAGGTGGGGTTCGGGCAAAGGGCTACCAACACCTACAAAGTAACAAAAATCACACCGCTAAAGAGAAGGGTTGGACAAAAAGGGCTAGCAACCACTCGTGATAAAACATGTACAATCTAGAATATAGGATGACTTAAATAGAACATGCTTTAAGGTGTCGCATAATCCCCCCCCCCCCCCCCACACACACACACCTATTGTAACAACATTCAAATAATTTATTGTCCTTCTAGAAAGCAACTTTAGTCTCATCAGCACCCCCTTCCACCCCCACCCCCCCCCCAACCTCCTAAAAAACCTAAATTTTTATCATTTTTCTTTTGATTAGTAATAAGCTCAAGTATTTTATTAGATGCATGTTTTAATTATTTATCTGCTTTTTTGTATACGTTTGTCTCGAGGCCGATTTATTTAAGAAAAAAAATATTTATATTGCAGATACAATTTAACACGACACCGGTTCTGCCTAAAAAAAAAATACAAGTACACCGGCTTGCAGATCGGCACGTGGGGAAACAGGTCACAGAATAGAAAAGTTGGAATTTTTTTTATCTGGATCCTAGACCTGGGTTACACAATTTAATTATTTTAATGCGAGTGGGCCAGGCTTGCGGACTGGGCCCACCGACTCATCCCATTATGCACAATTGAGAAAGAAATAATTTAATGAAAATGTTTTCCTGCGCAGCTGCCAACGAGGGGCGGTGCATCGGGGGTGGGGGTGGGGTGGGGGGGGAGGGTTATGAGCAAAGGGGTAGAGTTAAGGAGAAGGAAGGGGCTTCCGTTTTACGTGACTGTTACCGGTGTTTGATTTAATAAAGATTCTAGAAACATCTTATCTTGACATGTTGATGAGATCGTCCAGTCTACGACTGCGGCGATGCCGTTTCATCATCCCGTGTGTCAGGAATTCCGGGACGGAGCAAATGGCACAATTTCATGTAGGGCCCGCATTGAGATCTCTGAGAAATTGGCTGCCTCTGTTGGTTAGCCCAGTGGACTGATGCCCGTTTAACTTCCTGTGGCGGTCTTACAGACGGGGGATGAGTTTCAATCATCCTCGACGAAATACATTTTGATGTATGTCGTTTGTAGCACGGGCAGTGCTATCTATAGATAAGCTGGTCGTTTTGAGTAGAACAAAATTTAATAATATAGGGCCTACATAAAATGTAGGGCCTATATGTAGTTATTTTTTAGTGTTATCATAGGTGAATTTGGTGCTATTTTGTGTGAATATAACGTCCCGAGCGTCCTAAATTAATGAGTGACTATATTTTGTCTAATAAAGTTAACTCTACGGAGCCGAGATAGTAAGAATGATTAGAAAATAAATTTTATTTATTGTCATCCAACTTGACTTTAATTAACATCAGATATAAATGGCAGTCGTAAACCACGAAGTCAGTTAGTTAAATTGATGAGGACCGGCGGTGGAGAAAGTTGTTGGAAATTAAATCCTGTAGTTCTAGCAGTAAAGGAAAATAATGGGATTTGTATAGTACTCACAAACTTTGCTGAATTCAATAGTCAGTGCTAGAAAAATGAGATAGTACTAGATGAATGAGATAGATAATAACTAGATGGAAACTATATAACAAACTAGTTAATAACAAAATAATAACTAGATGAATATAAATCATAACTAGATGGTAACTAAAAACTGAAAAAATTGTAGTCCCCTTTTCAAACCCGAAGGTCCTTGAGGCAAGTGAAGTAGAGTTCACCTGTTTCTGTCACCTCGGTGAAGGGGTGTATTCCGAACGTCAGTTAGGCACCATTCAGAGCTGGGTGGACTCAGGGAAGTTCTACTGACTTAAACCCGGTTTCGAACTCGAGATTATAAACTAGATAAGTACTAGTTTTACGAAGAAAAAATATTTTCCATGGTATTTTGGTGGAAAGATGCGCAACGGAAAATGCGCATAAATAAAAGTGCGCTAGGGCATTTTTTGTTTTCTTAAATAGAGCATTTATAGACATTAATAAAGAGTGACTACACTGTAGAATGTAACATTATAAAACATATTTTCACGAAATGTGACAAAATTGAAGTGTATTAGTATAATTAGTTTGTATTTGCGCGTTTTTCTGTTTGCGCAGTTTTCCGTTGCGCCGTTTTCCGATTGCGCATTTTCTGGGAATCGTTATTTTAGCAACGAATTAGGCGCTCGATTTATGAGACACTAAATTTGCTGTGTTTTTAGTGACATCATGATTAACCGCATCAGGTGTCACCCGACCTAGTGACGGCTTTAACTCTTCTTCTTCATTCTTAATTGTATTAATGGTGCGCCGGGTGGGGGGGGGGGGGGGAATGTCCTCCTACATAAAGTAAAGTATGCTTATTAGTTATAAGCATGAGTTCTCCAATACGACCACAACTAATCAACATAGAAAGAAAACAGATGACAGAAAAAAATTGTCTAGTATCATTATATTAATTTTTTTTTTAAAGACATAACGTATTAGGGGCGGGTGCGGTGGGGAGGGGGTGCGGTCATTTTCTGGGGTGGGGAAGGTGTTGCTGTGTTTGGCGATATATGAGGATGAGTGGGATATACAGTTCGGCTATTAAAGCGTGACGTCATTTATAGTCAACTCGCTAGGCATAATTGGCCTATAAGACAATAGGTAATTATGTATGTAGGCCAAAGGTATTGAGAATAGTGTGTAGGCTCAATGAGCGCTAAGCTGTGCTAATTTTAAGCCATTTTTTTACGCAGAAAGATGTAATAACAGTTGTTAAACTCTAAATAATACATGGGACACTTTTTCGTCATTGTCGTATTAAATGTTACTAACTATGTTTTTAGAAGAAGAAAAAAATATTTTTAACAATAAATATTAAAATAATATTTATATAAAACTGCGAAAAAGGTGTGTTCGTCTTTTCATTTGGGAGTAATCATTGAAGAATTTTGTGTTTTTGTAAAATAAAATCTTTTTCCACATTATTTATTGTCTTCTTATATTTTTTGTTCAACTTAAACTTCAATTAGTTAATTGGCAGCAAAATAAATAAATTGCAAGTAATGTGTAAGAAATTAGGCCATTTATTTTATTTAAGATGTGAAACCGAATGGCGGGACAATTTTCATTGATGTCGTAAATGTAAACAAAACATCATGGCTGCCACCAAGACCGAAAACACTAAATCTATAGCAGACGAACCTTCGCAATCTAATGAATTTAATGCAAATGAACCCGACGAATTATTGTATGTTCTTACTGAAACAGATATTGACAAAGTTTTTGGTGTAGTTTCGTAGTGGCATTAAAATTTATCAATCTAGAGTCTAGAGTAGTTTTTCTGGTCTAGCTTTCAGTAGGACAGTCGTCAGTACTGAGTACGACAGTTACTCAACTCTCACCACGTCACTCTCTCACACTTTGTTTTAGTTAGTAGATCTAGCTACTCTCATACTCTGTTGTTCACTGTACAGTCTGTTCTAGGACTAGACTCTAGATCTAGATAAGTAGATAGTTGAGATCATAGAAGATAGCATAGCTAGAGAGAGGCAGTGGCGTAGCGAGGTCGGGTGTCAACATGTCACCCGGTGCGGCACTTAATGGTGTCACCCCCCCCTAGATGCGTAGAGACTCTTCCCGGGGACAAACTTTCAATTTGCACCCACCCACCCCCCCCCCCCCACGCTCGAACTTTTGACTTGCACCCCACGAACCTCAAACTTTCCATTTGCACAGCCCCCCCCCCCCCTCTGGCCCCTCACATTTTTCTCTATATATTTTACTATTTTTCGCCTTGGTCTCACCCCCCCTAACTAAATGGTGTCACCCGGTGCGGTTCACACCCCCCCCTCGCTACGCCTCTGGCTAGAGTCTACTGCCTAGGGCCTCGAGGAGTACTCTTCACCAGTAGCGTAGCAAGGGGGGGGGGGGGCGGGGGGGACATATGTCCCCGGGCGCCAACCTTAGGGGGCGCCAAATTGAAAGTTTGAGGGGGGGGGGTGCAAATTGAAAATTTGCTCCCAAGGGGGCGCCAAATTGAAAGTATGTCCCCGGGCGCCGGGAAGGGTCGCTACGCCTCTGCTCTTCACTCTAGCAGCTAGCTAGAGTCTATAGTATAGATCTAGACTCAATAGAGTCACATATAGAATTTACTATGAATTTAGTATTTTAGTCATAGAGAGTTAAGAGAGTCACGACAGAGTGACTAGAATCTAGATCTAGATCTAGTGACTAATTCAATTTATTCAATAGCGGTAAAAATAGTATTTAGTATTAGTAGGCATGGAGAGTGACTCAGGCGCTAGACTCAACTAGCTAAGCTGCTAGACGCAGCTAGAGTGTAGTAATCATGCAATAGGCCTAGATCTATCAATTATTAGTATTATCTTTTCTACAATTTTAGGCCTATTTTAAATTTAAGTAGCCTAGTTAGTATTTTACATAATTTTAGTTTGCAGGCTGTGTCAGTGAAGAATCTGTCTAGAATTATCAGGATTCTAGAATAGATCAAGTTAAAATCCACTAAATTCTAGACTCGTAGACTAGATGATCTAGTAAAATTATTGTTGCACTCTCATTTAACAAGCATTCTATTTATTTTATTAGGCCCTAATACACTAATAGTTTTGCGTTCGTTTTTTAATGCTGTTCAACTTCATTGAGGAAAGTGTAACAGTAACAGCATTCATAAACAACCCAACAGCCCCTTTTTGGGGTATTTTAGTTACTTCATTGTCTCCACTACCTCTGCATCTCAGCTATTCTCAGCTATTCATGTTTTTTTTCTACTAATCAGTGATTCTCAAGAAATCCCAGAATGCACCAAAAGAGCTAGCAGTATCCAGGCCATTGACAAAGCCTCCGTCCATCGAATCTGTTCTGGTCAGGTTGTCCTCACATTAGCCACAGCGGTCAAGGAGCTCGTAGAAAACAGCATTGATGCTGGGGCTACAAGTGTTGGTATAAAACATGCCAAAACCTTTGTTTAATTCGTTGTTTTTTTATATCTGATTAAAATTAACAAAAAACCTAATTAAGTTGATGTTTAATTACTTCATTTCTAGATCAGTACTTGTCTTATATGAAGATGAAATATTTTAGTATTTTTTAATTTTTTTTTAAACTTTCAGAAATAAGGTTGAAAGAATATGGAAGTGAAAATATTGAAGTTATTGATAATGGAAGCGGGGTTGAGGAAGCCAACTTCGAAGGACTAAGTAAGTAAATAGGCTGCCATTTCTTTCCCATATTTTATCAAATGTATTAAAAATGTTATATATTTAGGAAGACAACAATAGAATTATGAAAATCAAAAGACCATATGCACACAATCAAGTTAATTAAGATAAGAATATATTAGCCTTAAGTAATAAAATTCATCTAAGCTAAAAAACAAAAATAAAATAATCTTTGAAAAAAATCCTTTATTTAAAAATACTTTGAAAAGAACCAATTAGAGCCCATATGATTGAAGGGTAAACTTTTATATAAAAAATGTATTGCAGGATAGTTATTTCTTACATGCTATGCTACCTGCTTTATCTTGTGCAGAGTCTACATGTGTGGCATTGTTTAAATGTAATTTACAATATAAAAAATGTTTCTTTTAAAAATTTTCCAGCTTTGAAACATCACACATCAAAGCTGCAAGAGTTTGAAGATTTGGTCAATGTAACCACGTTTGGGTTTAGAGGGGAGGCACTCAGTTCTCTGTGTGCTCTAAGGTAAGAGAAATGTAAGCTGTGATGTGAGGTAAGCACATGTAAGCTGACCTAAAATGGGTCACGTGTCACAACATATGTAGTGTGCTGTTTTATTTTTAAAAAAAGCTAATAGGAGTCCTATACCTAAATACAAACCATCATTGAATGGTTGTGGGTTATTGTTATCAAGAAATTTTGACTTTTATCAAATGTAAACTGGAAGGTGATAATTACAATTATTATTTTGTGTTCTTGTGTAAGACAAGGATATTGTGGTACAAAAATATTTTGTGGTCTCAGACATTTTGGTACAAAGATATTATAATACTATGCATTTTGGTACACGTTATGGTACACATTTTAGTACATATATATTGTGATACAACAATATTGTTTTTGGAAATGCTTGATGTGTGAGAACCTTTTTTTTTTATGTTTCTAGTATCATGTCCATCACCACTAGACATCAGGATGCCTCTGTAGGGACCAGACTGGACTTTGATCTCAATGGGAAAATTGTTACTCGCAAATCCGCCCCAAGACAGGTACTTTACTAGCTTTTGTAGTTCCTTTTATGATCATATAAGCCTTAATAAATGTGTTGCACTTGCAATCTAGCTATGGGCTAACTGTGTAACATTAAAAATTACTGATTATCATTTGTTCCAAGCATTTATGGAAAAAACTTGCTGAAATAAAAGCAATTTTAGAGCTAGGTTTTGTAACCTAAAAGTTCTTTATGTAATATTTTTTTTTAAATATATTATTTTTTAATATTTGTGAATTACATAGACACAGTTAGTATAACTTTTTATAATTGCAGTTAGTATAACTTTTTATAATTGCAGCTCTACTCAATTTTAGCAATAAAAGTCCATGATATAATTAAGTACAAATGTTTCTGTAAACTTATCATGGTTATAAAAAGAAAAAAATATTTTTTCTTGTCTGCAGATAGGTACCACAGTTCAGATTCAAAACATTTTTCACACTTTACCTGTCCGCCATAAAGAATTTCAAAGAAACCTAAAAAAAGAGTTTGCAAAGCTTGTGCATGTATTAAATGCATATTGCATTGTCAATACAGGTGTGAGAATCACATGTTCCAACCAGACAGGCAAAGGGTGAGTACATAATGAACTTCTTAAAAAATAAATGCATACAATTTTTTTCTTCAATATGTACATCTATGGCTTAGCATGTGTATTCAATAAACAATTTTTTTATTTTTAAAAAAAAGTTAAAAGCTACCTGTTATAAAGCAATGAATTGAATTTTATATGTTATATATAAACTAATATTTCAACTGGTAATTTAAAATATGAAACTATGTAAGGCTTCTGGCATATTCTTTAAGAATCAATTTTATAAAATATTTAGATGTCCAGTTTTTATGTAACTTTAAATTCACTCTAGTTTTTTCTTAAATTTCTGAATTCTCAGTAGTCGTAGCGTTGTTGTGTCCACAAATGGAAATGAGACAATGAAAGAAAACATTGGCAACCTGTTCTCACCCAAACAAGTAAATAAAAAAAAAATTTAAGACAATTATTTATTTCCCTGAATTATTTCCAATTTTAAAGATGTTAATTTTCCTCAACCTTTTTTTTACTTAGTCCCTATAATTAGATTTTAAAAAATTGAATATAACTTTATCTAATAATTTTTCATATGTTCTACTGTTTTTCATCTCCTTGATAAACAATGCTATCATTTACTTTGGTAATAATAAGGCTTACTTTTAGTTATCACTTATTTCCTTACATTACTATTCATTATTTAAACATCATCTTTTGATTTATTTTTTTATTTTAAAATGCTATTTAGACTTCTCATTGTATAATTTTAATCACATACACATTATTTATTGATATACACAATCTTTAATGACATAGAAATTTTTTTTAATGATATTCACAAATTTTTTCCTTGAAACTTAAGGTCCAGAGTCTACTTGAATTCAAACAAGTTGTACCTTCTGACGAAGTCTGCTCAGACTTTGGGATCAAACCTCAACAGAATTCAAATTTTAGGTTTGTTTTCACTGTTTGATATATCTGTATAATAATTTGTTATAATGCACACTAAAACTTCATGAGTTAACTGCAAGTTGAGGTTTCTCAACAACTGTGAAAATTAGGACTATTGTCTATCATTCATTGTGACCATTGATTGATGTAATTACATGTAAGCTACCATCTGTGAGTCAGCAAACGTTACTAATATGTTAGGTTGAAACTACTCAAATAAACTCTGGATGTTTGATTTCAAATACTTAAGAACAACCATTTAATTACATACCTGATATTATCATTAAACATTACAATGTCATCATCTTTTCTCATTCATACCAGTGACACATGGGGCAGATAAGTAGAATTTATCTGTTTCAGTGTCTTCAGCATATGAAGAACTAGTGTAGTCAGCGCTATGTCCATCCACATTTGTTTTCCTAATTTGAGTCAGGTACTCATCAGAGCTGAGTGGACTCAGTGTCATCCTAGCATTCAAACGCTCTACCATTCAACCACACCATCTGACAACCTTTATAATATGTTATATATATATAACGTGGGTTAGATGTACTAAAATTTAGGGTTTCTAAATATAAAATAAATAGGTTTTTAATTGTGTACACCACAGGATTGAAGGTTTTGTTTCTAAATGTGAGCATGGCCAAGGTAGAAGCAGCACTGACAGACAGTTTATCTTCATCAACAAAAGACCATGTGACAGTGCCAAGGTACAGTGATGGGAAATTGTTCTTAGTGTCTGTGTGTTATTTGATTTTTGTGAGATTGTCATATGGGTAATTGTTCTTAGTGTCTGTGTGTTATTAGATTTTTGTGAGATTATCATATGGGTAATTGTTCTTAGTGTCTGTCTGTTATAAGATTTTGTGAGATCATCATATAGGAAATTTTTGTTCTTAGTGTCCGTCTGTTATTAGATTTTGTGAGATTATCATATGCAACATTGTTCTTAGTGTGTGTTATTAGATTTTTGTGAGATAATTATAAGGGAAATTGCTCGTAGTGTTATTAGATTTTGTGAGATCATCATATGGGAAATAAGTGTTTGTTTTATGCTAAGAGATCTTCCATTGGTATATTAGTTGTTGCTGTTCTCTGTTATCAAGAAAAGGGAAAATGTGTTCGTGTTAGGTATTCTAAAATGATCTAATCCCTTACACCACTCAATGTCCATTAATTAAATCAACTGGAAATCAATTAATTTTCATTGTAAACTCACTGAAAAATTTCTCGCCTTTTAATAGTAAAACTTTTTATTCTAAACTGTTCAGATTCTGAAACTGATCAATGAAGTGTATCACAGTTATAACAGGCATCAGAATCCATTTATAGCTCTCAGTATAACCATGGACAAAGGTAAATAACTCTGTGTTTTAAAAGGTGAGTGCACAAGGGCAGGGGTCTGCAACCTGGGGCTCATGAGCCGCATGCAGCTCTTTTGATGTCAAGATGCAGCTCTCGAGTTCCATGCGCAAATATTATTATATTATATGTATTATTTTATTTTCAAAACTCATATAAAATGATGAACGATATAATAATAAATATAAACAAAAAACGCAAGCTATTGTTTTAGAATATTTAGTTACTCACTAGTTCAATGTAGGCCTAGTTCCTATTAAAGTGCCCATCCCAAATTGAAAAAAAATTTAACATCATGGTTGATATCATTTGGTTGAAAAAGTGGATTGTTTCGAAAAATATATTACTTGTTTTTGTTGAAGAAAAATCTGAAAAAAATATCGTGATGAAACCAATGCTACTGGTAACATGAATCACTTCAGCATTACTATCAACAAAATGAAGGATGTTTTCGCTGAAAGATTTGAGCCATAGTAAATCCTCTCAACACAAAAACAAACGAGATCAACGTTGAGCCATTTGGAATTGGTATTAGCTAGCTTCAAATGGAATTGCTGGATTTGAAAACCAAATATTTGTGGAGTGGTAAATTCACAGAACTCAAGAGCAAGTTGCAAGAGTTGGAGATTAAGAAAAGCATGAAAGGTACACTTCACAAGTACACGGCTCTAAAAGAAATGCAGCCAGTTGAGGTACTAATGTTTGACGCATGGAACAGTTTTACACAATGCTACAATAGGTAGAACAAGTTTACATCTGGAGTGCTGACATTCTTTAGGTCAAAATATTTGTGCTAACAAGAGTTCTCATCAATATTATAAAAAGTAAAGTAAAAATCGAGAGGCGCGCTTGAAACTGAAAAATAAGTTATGAGCCAGGTTTAAACAAACTTTCAAAAGGCATGCAAGGCCAATGCTCCCATTGATGTAACTAATGTAAATATTCAATGATTATAGTTTTATTATTTGATTACTAATTTTTGTAGCTAAAATACTTTAATGTTTTGCCCGAAACATTTGTTTTTTTTTTTGGTACTAATAAATATTATTTCATATTTAAATTATTTAAGTTATATATATATATGTTACGGTCAAAGCCCGAAGTCGGCCAATGCTAGGATTGGCCGGCCAATCCGCGCATTGGCCAATATCACCTCCCATAGGTCGGCCAAAGTCCGAAACTTTGCTTGATTTCGACCTTTGGCCGGCCAATCCGCAGACTGGCCATGGTGGACCGGCCAGTCTTAATTAGCAGATCATCTAGCTAGGGACGACCGGCCAAAGTCCGAATTAGAAGATCATGAGCAGATTTTGGGTTTTTTTATGCCGTAAGGATCATGAAATTAAGTCTTTATTGATTATTAATTAAAGTAAATGACAGAAACATTCACATTTTGTATTGTACTATAGTCTCAATCAATCAATATTATCATTTGTTACAACAATTTGAACTTTTATGGCATTTAGAATTACATAGTAGCTTGTTATTTTTACACTTGCAGCGATTTGTTGTGCACTTGGTTGTGCAATTGCAGCGAGTGTAACCTTGGCCCCCAGTCAATGATTGTGAAGATGCGATGGTTCGTAGTGATTTTTCCTCAGTACCAACTGACGACAATAAGAGCAGTTTTTCGTGAAGAATTGAAAACTCACTTCTAGCATACAGTTGTTTTAGAACACCTAAAACGTTCCTAATTTGTAGAAACCACCCTCGACGCTCATGACAACTGCAATCACGCTTCGGGGATCACTGCGACCTCTTGTCAACATCTGGAACACGGATGCGTACATTGTCACCCACTTCAGCATCTTTAAATTTTGTATTTGATGTTTTAAACATCTTAGCACCTTGAGTTTGCAAGCCAGTATGAGCTGCTGATCTGTGTTCCATGATGTCTTGTTTGTTGTGACACAATCTGCAGGTAATGTCCCCTCCGTACCATTCGTCTGCTTCATTGGGTATTCCACAAATAGCATGGACATTGTTGCCACAGGATCCAAAAGAATGAGCTGCACTACAATGTTTTTCACAAACTATATAGAATCTGTTGGCCACATAATTGTCACACAACTGGTCTGGATGTTCCGCCACGGCAGTAGATGTGTTAGCTGAGGATGTCGTTGCATTTATGGCAACCTCCATTTCTTGTTCAATGTTCTCAAGATCTTCCTCAGTAACTATTTTATCGAGAGCTCATATATGGAAACTAACATGGATTTACATTTTATTCTTTAGCCATCTGCTATGTCTATCTCATGGTCTGACGGCCCTTTTGATCCATGTCGCTTTGCATATAGAATGCTATACAAACAAGAGCTAAACAATACGTTACTCTCAATGAAAACGCACCCAGAATAATGAAAATGCGATCACAACTTAGTCTAGATAGAACATTGGCCAGGACATCCCGGTCAGTGCGCGCATTGGCCGGCCAATGTACAAAATACGCTGTCAAGTTTAAGGGCTTCGGGCTTTGGCCAGTACGTCCCGGCCAGTGCGCCCATTGGCCGGCCAATGTACGAAATACGATCTTAGTGCTAAGTTCTTCAGGCTTTGGCCAAGAGAGCCGGCCAATGTGCGGATTGGCCGGCCAATCCGCGCTTTGGCCGCACTTCGGGCTTTGACCGTAACATATATATATATATATATATATATATATATATATATATTTATATATATATATATTTATTTATATTTATATATATATATATATATATATATATATATATATATATATATATATATAGGCAATTGAAAATATAAGGTTGCAGACCACTGCAGTAGGCCACTTTATTGTATCATACCACGCAAACTACTATGACAAGTGCACATTTTTTAATAAAGGGAAACAACTTTAAATATACTGCTAAAAAAACAAAACAATTTTTTGTTGTATAAAACAATAAATATAAAATTAAAATGTTTGCGTTTTTGATGATTGATATAACTATTTGCAGTTTTTTTTTAAAATATATTAATCTGTGTTTTCGTTACTAGTTTGAAAATATAATCTATACTTATACTTATAAACCGAAAACTGTAGCATCATTTCAAAATTAGTTTGTTATTACAGGTTTAGTGACAAATAATGTAGGTTTGAGTTAGACGTAGTTTTTAGTCAAATTTTGGATCCCTTGCTTAAAACTCAAGGGACATATAAAGAGCCAAAAGCTACAATTTTCAAGATTTCTCAGGTTTTAAAGAGCTACTAGCATTTTTTATTTTAACATTTGGTATTTGTTTAGGATTAGATAAATTAATTGTACTTGTTATGTAAAATAAGTACCTTTAAATGTAATAATAGTTATTCATATAAAACATACGCAATTTTGCCAGAATAATAAAATTAGTAATCAATTAATATAATTATAGGACGAAAGCTATACACTTCAGAAGCTGTTAACTTTTTTTTCTTTCTTTACGGATATCACCGGCTCAGAAGGTGTCTCCCATTAGCCAGGCAGGCCTCAACACGGCAAACTCCGACTATATCGGTCGTTTCTGTCCTTTGGTTCTTACCAGGCATATCTCACACCCCATTGAACGCAGCGTAAATTCATACGCCACAGTCTAGTGCCCGGCTCAACCGTAGGAAGCTAATAACTTAAAAAAAACCCACATCATTTAGGTCAAAGCAATGATTACTGACAAATAGGGAAATGTATTCTGAATGAAATAGTATTACCTATTTAACGATAGTCGGAAAAATCAGCAATTGGGCAGTGGCAAGCATGGAATTGTTGCGACGGGACTGTGCTTATTGCCCAAGCTGCTGTCAGCTGTCCGTATACTTTCTAATGCACCTATTCTCTCTGTTCTCTGTTGAATGTCTTTACCCAGTTTAAAGTTGAGTTTCTTTACAGTATAATATGTATTGCGAGTTTTGAAAATGAAATAATAAAACTATTAATATTTGTGCAAGGAGCTGGAGAGCCGAATCTTGACATCAAAAGAGCCGCATGCTGCTAGCGAAGCGCAGGTTGACGACCCCTGGTCCAGGTCTTTTGATGTAAGCGGCTCTTTTGATGTAAATATGCGGCTCTCTAGCTCCATAAAAATTCTATTATTTTTCTCAAAACCCAAAAAATATGCTGTAAAAACAAAAACAACTTTTAAGAAAACAAAAAACAATAGGTGGTGTAGGGCGTATATGGCCAGCTGATAGCTGCTGGGCATTAGCAGTGTTTAGTTTATTCCAGAATTTCTTCTCCAAGGGGAGGGGATTTGGGAAAGGGGGATGCCTGGAAGAAACTCTGGGCATTAGGCCCAGCCCCACAACTGTGCTGCGGCCAACCCCGTGGCAATGGTTCCATGTTTTCCACTACAGAGGTGCATAAAAATGTTAGTGGCTCTTTAAAAATTTGGAAATTTTGGAGATTTTAACTTTCGGCTCTTCCGTTACTAAGGTTGCAGACCCCTGCGCTAGGGCATTTTTTTTTTAATCAAGCATTTATAGACCACATGTACATTATAGCATAATAAAACACTTTTCAATGAAATACGACAAAATAAAAGTGTATTCTTATAATTTGTATTTGCGCATTTTTCTGTTTGTGCAGTTTTCTGTTTGTGCTTTTTCTGTTTGAGCTTTATTCTGGAACTGTGTTGAAAATAATTAATTGTTAATTTATTACTTTATTGGTTTATGCATATGACATGACTACTATTTTTATTATTGGTTTCATTAATATGACTACCTTTTTGGTTTTTTTTAAAGCACATAGTGTATGCCTAAGCATCTTATGTACTTTGTGATCAGTGTTCTCAAACCCATCTGAGCTTCATTATGTGACTGTAACATATCTTTAAGTCTAAGCATCTTTCATGGAATTCTCAAATCATGAAATGTAGTGCACTAAAGGAGCTCACTGCATTAACATATTACCATTCATATACCGTTGTACTGCATAAATATATTACCATTCATGTACCGTGGTCAAAGATACAGTTGAACTCCAATATATCTGCCCTATTGATAGTTAACTCCATAAACATACTTTACTAAATTTATAATTGCATTGTTTAATCTCACAGAGAATGGACTTTATGGTTTTGCATTTAATTTGTCCATACTTTGTTGCTGCATTAAACATGAAATGTTTCTATTTTTGTTTTAGAATCAGTGGATGTAAATGTCACTCCAGACAAACGACAAATTTTTTTAGAAGGAGAAAAATTGCTTTTAGCTGTGATAAAGGTAGGAGACAAGTGTTTTTAAAATTTCATTTGGGACATTTTTTTACATAATCATGTGTTAGACAACTCAGGCTAAAGTTATTAGAGTTAATGCTGCTGTTTAATAAACTGTTTCAGGCAATTTATCTTTTTATACTATTAATTAATTGTTAGACAGTGCACACTAAAGTTATTTCATTAGAGTGTATGTAACTTGTTATTTGACTTATGCTTGAAGACCTCGCTGATTCAGATGTTTGAATCCACTACATCTGTTTACAAAGTGAACAACATCTTATCTCCTTTAGGTAAGTTACGGCATGACATGTTATAACGTTGGTGCAATATTTGTGCTAAATTTTATTGTAATATAATTTTGTATTCATGTGTTAATTTTCCTTATAAAATCTATCTACCCTAAATAGCAGAAAAATTTAATGAAAAACAATGTAAAATACTTAAATTTTTTTGTTTAAGTTTATCCCAAATTCACTGTCATTTGACTTTAATTATTATAAGGCATATATCCCTAGTTTTTAGCTCAGAAAAAAACTTTTTACGATTGGATAAAATTTGTAACTAATTTATATCTTTGTGGTAATTCTTTAAAACAAAGTTGGAACCTAGAAAGTAATCTATTTATACCATTCATTTTATAGAATACTCACAAGGCAAAATGTCTACAGATAATAGCTTTATATCTGGAACAAATTTACAGGTTATTATTTGATTATTAGTTAAAATATCAAATTAATCTCAAATTATTATTTAAAGTTATTCTAAATTAGGATTTAATTACACTGTAATAATTTTTTAGCTTCTGTTTATCACACATAGCTTTGTGCTAAATGAATTGTTTTTTTCCAATCCATCAGAAAGTTTCCAGTCCATGTTTATCCAGCAGCCTCTCCCAGCTAAAGAGAAGTTTTTCCAGTGCTTTTGATAAGGGAGCATCGGGTCTCAGCCCTGAAAGTGTTGGCGGGGTAAAGAAAAATAGTAGGTTTAGCTTTGTTACTTAGCTTCACATTGAGGTATAGCCTTGTTAGTTAGATATAACCATGTTTTATTATATTTTAAAATATTACCTTTAGACAATTCGGATTTCATATAATAACACAAGATGATGAATTGATATAAATAAATACTTTATGATGCTTAGTAAGTTTGTTAGATGTAAAATCACGTTTTATTATTTCGTAAAATAGCTGTATATTGCTTTAAACAATTCTGATTTCAGATAATAATACAAGTTGGTGTATTGATATAAATAAAACAAATACTTTGTCTTTAAAGACCTAGCAATGACAACTTATTTTTAACTCTCAACTTTTGGAGATAGCTCTTTGAAAGAAAAAGTATAGTTTAATTATATTTTAAAAATGATAGTTCTGTAAAATTGAATTCTTTAAAACTATTACATTAATTAAATTAATAGTTTTTGTTCCACAGAATCCCTCACTTCTGACACAGATATTTCATCAAGAACCATAACTCCACTATCCCAGCAGGGGTCAGCATCACAGGGTTCCATCAAAGATTTCCTCACCCGGTTAAAACCCAGCCAATCAGTGCCAAAAGCTGGTGCCACGCCATCCAAAACCTCACCAACCAAAACCTCACCCGACACATGCACCAGTGGCCTAGTATTTGAACCAGTCAGCCTCTCCTGGAGTGGGCAGTCCTTATCTGAAGATGTGGTTGATGTTGATGTAGAGGAATCCAATGCAAAGGGAGATAATCTACAAAGTGATTCCTGTTTTTCTTCATCATGGGAAGGTAAACAGCAGAGTAGCACAAGTCACTCTTCTACAGATGGAGATTACTTTCAGAGTAAATCCAGTCTCTTCCCACCAAAGGGAGACTGCACACAGGGCAGCACAAGTCACTCTTCTACCAAGGGAGATAACCTACAGAGCATTACATGTCTCTCTTCTACCCACTGTATCAGTGGTTTAGAGACAGATTCAGAAACTAAAACAGCTATAACAAAAAGTGACACTAAATGCTGTGACAGTAAAGAGCTAATAGCTGCTACAGATGAATCACAAGAGGTATCAAAGGAATTCCTATATAATAAAAATACCACCAGTATTCCCCAAAGTAATGATGATTCTATTGAAGGAACAAATGACCAGCCGTTTAAACTAGATTCAGTAAGTTGGAACATTTTTTTTAAATAGTTCAATTGATTTGCTTTTACACTGTCAGTGGCAAATGTTTAAATAATTTGTTTTACCTATATCATGTCAATTTAAATACTTTAATTTTAAATATTTTATATATTTTATATGTTTATATAATCTATATATATAATTCTCTTCTGGGAGACGCTAGAAAACAAGCTGTAAATGCGCTCCCTACCATCCCCACCCCTACATGGTCTTAGTGAGCTGTGGTTCACGCTATGTTTACCTTCGTGGAGTCGGGTTTAGTGACAGCTATTAGGGGCAGATAAATTAGTATGAAACGATTTTAAACGTTGGGGGGGGGGGGGAGGAAGGTGGGGGGGGGGGGTCGTTATGGTCCTTAACGAGCTACTTATAGTGTTATAAAGAAATATTTTCAGTGGCAGCGTTGGTACCGTTGAATTCATAAATTATGAATAACTGAAAAGTAGAAAAAAACAACAACTAAATAGCGGCGTATGTTATGCCGCGGGCCGGCTCGTGTTACATATTTTATTAATTTTAAATTATACTTTATTACCAAAGATAAGCCTATGTGGGAGGGCATGGTCAGATGGTAGAGCATATGACTGATAGCCTGAAATTCTCAAGTTCAGATCCCAGACTTGAATCCATAGGACAGCCCTGAGTCCACCCAGCTCTGATGGGTACCTGCCTCAGATTAGGGAAAGTAAAGGCAGCTTGGAATAGTGCTAACCCCACTATCCCTTCATATACCAAAGGCATAGTGAACTCTGCTACATCTGCCTCATGCGTTGCCAGGTCCCTAAGGGTATAAGGGAGAAAACACGTAGAAACAGCCTACTAGTGTTTGTATTATTATTTTCAGCTAAAATAGCTTCTCATTTAAAAATTTTCAGCCAGCTGAAAAATTGGATGTGACCCAAACTAGAGAACAAGTTATCAAATTTTCATTGGAGGCATTACAGAAAAAAGTGAGCACTAAAATTACAAAGAGTGAGTCAGATTCAAATTTTTGTCGAAGTTTTCGGGCAAAAATCTGCCCCACAGACAACAGTTCAGCCGAGGAAGAACTTCAAAGGGAAATCAGGTGGGTGGATATATGTTTTGGTTTAGTAAAAAAAATATTAAATTCAGGAATTTAGTAAACAGTTTTCTCATGATGTTCTTTATATTTGTAAAAGCAATACATGTTTGTTAATAAAAAAATCATGTGTGTAATGGTTTAGCAAAATGAACACATGTTCAATTTCAGTGAGTATAAATCATTGTTAATATTTTTAAAAGAAGATTCCTGCAAACTATATATAAATCATAATTTTATGACAAAATTTTTTTTAAATTATGGTTTTCGAATGTCATTTATTAATTTTTTTCTTTATTTAAATACAATGGTAGAACATGTATTTTTAATTGTCTGTTATCAACACATAAAGAAATTTTTATTTTCCAGCAAAGATATGTTTGCCAAGATGGAAATATTAGGTCAAGTAAGTCTTTATTTGTTTTTTTTTTTTTCAAAGTTAATTTTTGTTTTAGTAACAAACTAATGCAACATGCAGCGACAAATTTGTCAGCTGTTTATCAGTTATATTCTTTTTATAGAGTAAAAAGTTCATAAACTTGAATACAGCTCAAAAGCCAAGCAGTCCAAAACAGAATAAAGTATCAGGCCATTCTCACCTATATTACCAACTGCCAGACGTGTTTCCTTCAAGTTTTTTTATTTCCTGACACAGAACATAGCACCACCTGATTCTGTATACTATATGGGCAATTTGGGGGAGGGAAATCCTCCTGTCTTAAGTCGGGTATCAAGATTTTCACTGCTATAACTATGCATTTAACGGGAGCATCATTTGGACAGATTGGTCAGATAACAAAGCCCATGAATGTTAACTAGAAAGTCTCAGTTGAGTTCCTGAGTTTTTGTCCACCCAACTCTGATGAGTACCTGATTTACTTAAGAGCAACTTAACTCAGCCGGTCATAGAGCTGACCACACTATCCTTTTATATGTTGAGGTACTGAAACAGATGCCCTACATTTAAAGAGTCATTTTTCTCCTAACCTTACTGTACCTTAAAATAAATACTAAGTTATACACAAAGAAAATAGTTATGGTAAAACTTATTTTAAACTTAAAACCTGAAATTCAGTACTTCAAGTCAGTTGTATGCCAAAAGTATATTTAAGTCTAATTTCAACATGGAGGTTTAACTGCCTCCGTTTTTATGCCTTTCTAATATTTTCCCCTAAAAGTAGATCTTTCTTTTTTACTTTCTCGTATATGAAGTATAGAGGAAGTATTGTAATCGTGCAAAAAATGGAAATTAAGATTTTCACAAAGCTCGATGTTTTACACCTTCCTGAGTCGGGAAAACATAGTTTTGCAATTTTGTCCGTGTGTGTGTGTCTGTGAACACAATAACTTGAGTACCGTTACAGCTAGGTTGATAAAATTTCATACATAATTATTATATCAAATTTGTAGTTCTGAATCACCTTTTCAGCGATTTCCGATAAACAGAAGTGGAACTTATTCCACTTTTAGTTTTTCAAAAGTCTATAACTTGAGTACTGTTACAGATAGATATATGAGATTTCACACTTAAGTAAAAGATCTAATTCTCCGCCTTCTATCAAATTTTGAGTAATTTCCGTTGACCATAAGTAGTAATTTACACTATTTTCGATTTCTCAAAAAACACTTATGAATTTATAAAGTACTAATAATATTCCGCACGATTATACACAATGTTTGCGCTATTCTTTTTTTCTGCGATATTCTATTCTTTTTAAAAATATATTTTAGTCATTAAAAATGGATGAAAAAATCATGTCTATATCTGAGTTGCAATTCCCCTAGTGTTATATAAGAATATTCGAGTTGTCATCCCCTGAATGTTGTAAAAGAATAGCCAAGGAAGTTTAAGGGAGATTACTCCCGGTTTATTTATTTATTTATTTTTTTTTATTTTTTTTATTTTTTTTTTTAAAGTTAATACAAATTTTATTTTTAACTCTAAAAATCATACCATTTACACAAATATTTACCCAACAAGGACAATCACTAGATTTTAAATGTCCGTTTATACTAAATGATAAAGAAAACTCAGTCATAACTTTAAGTTGATCATAAAAAAGGTGTACACGCTGATCATAAATGTGCCTTCCAAAAGTTGTACTCAGCTTACAGAATTTCTCTTTTCAACATAATTCCACAACTGGATGTAAAATAAATTAAACAGAGAAATGTTAGAAAGACATCATGTATCAACGGACAGATTTATCAGAATGGAACTGCATAAGACTGTCAAAAACGGCTGCTGCTATGCACAAGAACTAATTATGGCCCGCATTACTTTTTCCATTCCAACTTGTCATAATCCCACTTAGAGGAGATACCAGTAACAATTCCCTTCCTTCGTCTAACATTTGCTGCAACACTTTTTCCTGATGTTCAGGGGTAAGTGTGCTTGCTTGTTTTGGATAGACAAATTCTTTGACAAAGAACATGATCCAGCCAGTCACAGCTAACCCAAGAAGAACTGAGCCAAAAATAACTTTCCATTCACCAGTGGGAGCATTGATCTCACTGAATGTCTGACAGAAACTAGCCCTGTACAAGGCTTTTTTGTCCTCTAATGTTAACTTTTTCCAGTCCCCCTTCTCCTGTTGTCTTAGTTTGGCAATGTCTGCTGTTTCCTCCTTAAATCTAATAGCTGGACACGGGAACTCACACCTGTCTATGTAAGAGGCCATCCCATTGACACCATACCCAACAACTTCTCAATTACCTATTTTTGGATAAATTTCATCTTTTAACTTTTGATCTAGAACAACATTCCTGGAACAAATAGAGGATGCTGTAATAGTCCGTTGAGGGATTTTTGAAGCCCTAAGGGATTTTTGAAGCCCTAACACAAACACGAAGTAAATGGCTGATGTTTATTTTAAAAATAATACAACTTAATGCAATGACCTCCACAACTGATAATCATTGTTAAGTTTTATCAGTAATCTAATGTGTCAAAACAAAAGTTGAAAAAAACTATTGTTTTGGGTTTTTAATTACTGGTACATTATAAATTGTAACTTTAAATTGTAACAATCTGACATAAATTTAATCAACCATATAAATCCAGTCATTTCACTAATGAAACAACAAAAAATCACTATCTTATACTTTGTCTTAATTAGTTCTTTTCGTGACTATACTAGTTTAGTCATAAGTTGCTTCCCCTATGTTTAATTCATTTTTACATGTACAATCTTTTTTAAGGTATCTCAGTTTTGTCAAATTTATGAGGGGTTTGTTTCTTGAAAAATTGTCAAATAAGTGCACTTCCAATAATGACATACATATATATTATTTTCAGCCTAATTAGATATTAAAATAGCAAGCCTTTAAATGCATTTAAATTCATACTTATTTCAATATAGTTAAGTTGTGGTTGGCACCACACATTCTTAAAGCAATTGTGCCTAAATAAATAAAAAAAATTTCATATTTTATCTTTGAGATGTTAATCTAAACAAACATGGTAAAAGGATGAAAAAGCAAAGAGAAAATTTAGCTCGAATGTTTTTTAGCAAGCATATATGAATACAGTTGGCCACCTTTTAAACTTTCATGGCATTCATACCTAAAGTAAAGTTGCCCTTTCAAACCTAGTGGTGCATGGGACAAAGGAAGTAGAGCTCATCTGTTCCTATGACCTCAGCTTGTGTAGGGATAGTGTGTCTAGCAATATACCCAGCTGCTTTTATTTCCCCTAATTAAATGTGTGTAAGTTATTTATCAGAGCTGGGAGAATTTAAGAATTTTATACAGATTTGAACCCCTCGACTTTAGGTTAGCAGTCTTGCACTCTACCATCCTACCAATGGCCTCCTGCTTAATCCTCCAACTTATGATGCAATGTTTGATATGCTGACTGCTTACTTTGATCTACTTACTTTGATCTGCTTACTTTGATCTACTTACTTTGATCTACTTATTTTGATCTACTTACTCTGATCTGCTTACTTCCAGTTCAATCTGGGATTTATAATCACCAAACTGGGCAGGGATCTGTTTATTGTGGACCAGCATGCCACGGATGAGAAGTACAACTTTGAGATGTTGCAGAGGAACACAGTGCTGCAGAGTCAGAGGATGATTGCGTAAGTGGGGGGCGGGAATTTTTTTTTTTTTAGTTTTTTATGTGCTGGTGGTCATGTTGGGAAATTCTTTTATTGTTTTCTGTAGATTGGGTGTCGTACTGGTAAACATTTTATTTTTTGTAGGCTGGTTGTCATACTTGTAAAAATTGTGTGGGCTGATTGTCATACTTGTAAAAAATTTTATAGGCTGGTTGTCATACTTAAAAACATTATTTTTTAGCAGTCTTGCACTCTACCATCCTACCAATAGCCTCTTGCTTAAACATTTTTTAGTTTTCTATAGATTGGTTGTCATTCTGATCAACATTTTTTTTACTTTTGTGAGGCTTGTTTGTCGTGCTGTAAAAAATGTTATAATCATTCGTTGATCTGATTTTCCCATTTGCATAAAATTTCAAAACATTAATCACTGACATTTTCTTTAGCATTTTAACAGAGCACCAGTCTAGTGTTTTTTTTCTCAAGAATAATAATAAGTTTTTCTTGTTTATTAAATACAATGTTATGTGAATTTAATGTTAGTAATATTTCAAATTTTGTTTGTTTTTTATTTGTTCTTTAATATTCATTATTATTTTTTAGACCACAAAATCTGGAGTTGACAGCCAGTAACGAAACAATTTTGGTTGACAACATCGATGTGTTCAAGAAAAATGGTTTTGATTTTATTGTAGAAGCTGATGGTAAAGTATTTTTTTCTGTTTAATCTCTAATATTAATGTCTATTTTCTTGTATTATTATTATCATTACTCCTTCATGTATAAAAAGTGGCAGTTTTTAAACATTGATAATGTTTAATTTTTTATAACTTGTTACATTCAGCTTTGTAAAACAAATATTTGGAATTTGAAACTTACGTTATTGTTAAAAACTTATCTATTCAATGTTTATTAATTCAAAAAATTACTTTCTAACTCTGAAACAAAGTAAAATTTGTTTCATATGATTTAAGGCAATTTTTGTTTTATTTTTAGATAAAAATTACAAATAACTGATTTAAACAGTGTGAACAAATTTATATATGTTAAAGATTTTGAGAACAAATTAATTAATTAAATGCTCAAACAATTGTGTTTAAATTAATCTTTAATTTTATTACTATCTATGGAAGTTATGTTTGTAAAAAAATGTTAAGTTGCCCACTGCTGAGAATACATTTCGTATCTTTACCTTAGCTCCACCTACACAGAGAGTTAAACTAAGCTCAGCCCCTGCTAGTAGAAACTGGAGTTTTGGAAAAGATGGTAAGAAAAAATTATTGTTTTATTAAAAGCATGGTTTTTATAAACTGTGTCATTTAAAACATGGTAGTTATAAACTGTTTTATTTCAAACATGGTAGATATAAACATTGTTTTATTTAAATCATGGTAGTTAGAAACATTGTTTTATTTATACATGGTAAAAAAAACATTTTAATATTTTTATTTAAAGCATGGTCGTTATAAACATTGCATATTGTGTTATATGCATGCTGTTTAAAATTTTAATGTGAAATTTGGGGAAAATTTCTTAGAAGTTAAATTAATGGATTAAATTTAATTGAACACATGTAAATCTGCAAGTTTTTGTGCTTTTATCAAATCTATTTTGTTTTGATTCAAGACCTATTTAAAATTCAAATTTAAGAGAATGATTAATAACTATTTATGAAGTATTATATGGTATATACTTCTATATGTGTTAATGTACTTTTATTTTCTCTTAGATATTGAGGAGCTGTTGTTCATGCTTACAGATTCCCCGGTATAAAATCCTTTTTTACTAACTCTTTTAAGTTTGCTCAAATTTTTAATTTTCTGCATATGTAACTTCCTCTCTATATAATAATGACATTTGATTAAAATAATTTATCAATTTTGTTTTTCCTGTACAGCTACTTGATATCAATATAGTAAAACTGTATAACAACTGTTTTTGATAATGGGTTGTTTATTATGAATATGTCTTTATTCGCCATCAACAGAATGTGATGTGCCGACCGTCCCGTATAAGAATGATGTTTGCATCTAGAGCATGCCGGAAGTCTGTCATGATTGGAACTGCCCTCAATAAATCAGAGATGAAAAGGGTATTAACTTTATGTTGAAGTTCAATCAATTTTTAAGTAATTAGATTGCTTGTGGGATAGCGTGGTTGAACTGTAGAGCGTTTGGCTGCTAACCTGAGTCTCGAGTTAGAATCTTGGTTCTGACTTGTGGCTGTAGGATGTCCCTGAGTCCACCCAGCTCTGATGGGTACCTGACTTACATTGGGGAAAATAAAGGTGACTGAGCTAATTTCTGACAACACCATTGTCGAGGTCAAGAAACAAGCGAATGCTACTGCATTTTCCCAATAGATTGCTTTGCTAGATCTAAAGAAGAATCATTTTTTAATTAGGTCTCGAGTTTGAACCCTCGGGCAGATGAGGCTCGCTAGCTGGGGACAGCCACTCTTCTAGGAGAGGCAACTCCAAAATTAAACAACTGCTGCCTTGTAGTTTGTTCTTGGTTGGACAAAGGCTATGGAAGCAAATCCAAAAAGAAAAGCAGGCTGAAATCGGAGTCAATGGCCTCAATGGCGCATAACCAGTTGACACGTACCGCTTAATTGTGTTTGAGGCGTGGTCGAGTCGGCAAAAAGCTCATGGTTGATAAATTCGAACAAAGTCTCGAGTTCAAATCCACTGGCAGATAAATCTCGACCCCCTTCAACACTAATAATTAAGAACGAAGAAGAAGAAGAAGAATTAGGTTGATTAGTTATTTAAATCATCTACAAACATTATGGTTAGGTTTAGATAAAAATGTTGGTATACACATACCAGATAAGTTTATATACTGTGGGCATACACAGAATTAAGTTTTAAGTATATATCTATTTTGTAAAGGATTTAGATTAGGTCAGTAATGTTTGTTTTGGGGTAATTAGAGTCAGTGTTGTAGCCTAATACAGCTTTTATTGTTTTGAACTATGTTGATTGTGTGTGTAAGTAATGAATATTGTAGTCACTATGTTGATGGTGTATGTCAATAATGAATATTGTAGTCACTATGTTGATTGTGTATGTGGATAATGAATATTGTGGTCACTATGTTGATGGTGTATGTCAATAATGAATATTGTGGTCACTATATTGATTGTGTATGTCAATAATGAATATTGTGGTCACTATGTTGATTGTGTATGTCAATAATGAATATTGTGGTCACTATGTTGATGGTGTATGTCTATAATGCATATTGTGGTCACTATGTTCATGGTGTATGTCAGTGATGAATATTGTGGTCACTATGTTAATGGTGTATGTTAATAATGAATATTGTAGTCACTATGTTGATGGTGTATGTCAATGATGAATATTGTGGTCACTATGTTGATGGTGTATGTTAGTAATGAATATTGTGATCACAATGTTGATTGTGTATGTCAATAATGAATATTGTAGTCACTATGTTGATTGTGTATGTCAATAATGAATATTGTGGTCACTATGTTGATGGTGTATATGGATAATGAATATTGTGGTCACTATGTTGATTGTGTATGTCAATAATGAATATTGTAGTCACTATGTTGATTGTGTATGTCAATAATGAATATTGTAGTCACTATGTTGATGGTGTATGTCAATGATGAATATTGTGGTCACTATGTTGATTGTGTATGTCAATAATGAATATTGTAGTCACTATGTTGATTGTGTATGTCAATAATGAATATTGTAGTCACTATGTTGATTGTGTATGTCAATAATGAATATTGTGGTCACTATGTTGATTGTGTATGTCAATAATGAATATTGTGGTCACTATGTTGATGGTGTATGTCAATAATGAATATTGTGGTCACTATGTTGATTGTGTATGTTGCTGATGAATATTGTGGTCACTGTTGATGGTACATGTCAATAATGAATATTGTGGTCACTATGTTGATTGTGTATGTCAATGAAGAATATTGTGGTTACTATGTTGATTGTGTCTGTCAATAATGAATATTGTAGTCACTATGTTGATGGTGTATGTCAATAATGAATATTGTAGTCACTATGTTGATGGTGTTTGTCAATAAAGAATATTGTAGTCACTATGTTGATGGTGTCAGTGATGAATATTGTAGTCACTATGTTGATTGTGTATGTCAGTGATGAATAATGTGGTCAATGTTGATTGTGTATGTCAATAATGAATAATGTGGTCAATGTTGATTGTGTATGTCAATAATGAATATTGTGATCACTATGTAGATGGTGTATGTCAGTAATGAATATTGTGATCACTATGTTGATGGTGTATGTCAGTAATGAATATTGTGATCACTATGTTGATGGTGTATGACAGTAATGAATATTGTGGTCACTATGTTGATGGTGTATGTCAATGAATATTGTGGTCACTATGTTAATGGTGTATGTCAGTAATGAATATTGTAGTCACTATGTTGATGGTGTATGTCAATGAATATTGTGATCACTTGTCTGATTTTGTTTCAGCTTGTGACTCACATGGGTGAGATTGAGCAGCCTTGGGTAAGTGTGATGACGTAATTTAGGCTAGTTATAAATAGATCAAACAGTAAGGACAAAATGTCCAATAGCTAGAGGTCAAGTAGACGAGTTAGGTGTATTAGCTAGAATAGGTAGGAACCAATGAGAATTGAGATGTCACCTGATTGGTCACATGTGACTGTCAGCTGACCAAGTGTCAGGTGTTAACAGTAAGTGAGAGTTCAATCTTTATCATTCTCCCTCACAACAGTAAGTGAGAGTTCAATCTTTATCATTCTCCCTCACAACAGTAAGTGAGAGTTCAATCTTTATCATTCTCCCTCACAACAGTAAGTGAGAGTTCAATCTTTATCATTCTCCCTCACAACAGTAAGTGAGAGTTCAATCTTTATCATTCTCCCTCACAACAGTAAGTGAGAGTTCAATCTTTATCATTCTCCCTCACAACAGTAAGTGAGAGTTCAATCTTTATCATTCTCCCTCACAACAGTAAGTGAGAGTTCAATCTTTATCATTCTCCCTCACAACAGTAAGTGAGAGTTCAATCTTTATCATTCTCCTTCACAACAGTAAGTGAGAGTTCAATCTTTATCATTCTCCCTCACAACAGTAAGTGAGAGTTCAATCTTTATCATTCTCCCTCACAACAGTAAGTGAGAGTTCAATCTTTATCATTCTCCCTCACAACAGTAAGTGAGAGTTCAATCTTTATCATTCTCCCTCACAACAGTAAGTGAGAGTTCAATCTTTATCATTCTCCCTTACAAACAGTGAGTGGACAACACTTTGTGTAGCAAATTTTGAGGATGCGAAAAAAATGTGGATGTGTAGCAGAATGTGAATGTGTAAAAAATGTGGATGTGTAACAAATCTTGTGAATGTCTAGCAAATTTTATGGATTTGTAGCAGGTCTTTTGGATGTGTTAACCAGCATACAATTCTAAATTTGTACTTACAGATTTATTTTCTATTTGTTCAATGATATCTAATTGTTTTTTTTCTCCCTAATATTTTATTAAATATTCTCTTAATAAATGTTGTAATAAGCAAACAAAAATACTTTCCACAATTCAATCCACATTTTTTAAAAAGGTGTCCTAAAAATTATTGTTACTTTTAGTTCAAGAAAGGAATGATAAATGGATATCAACTAATTGTTTTTTTTTTTTTTTTTTTCAGAACTGTCCTCATGGGCGTCCTACAATGAGACATCTGTTTAATTTAGACATGCTACCCACATGAGGCTACCCACATGAGGCTACCCACATGAGGTTACCCACATGAGGCTACCCACACGAGGCTACCCACACATTGCTACCATATAACAGTGCTACCTATCTCACACAACCATCAATAAACATGTACAAAGTCAAATACACATCATTTTTGTTGTTTATTTTCTTTTAATCATGTTTAAAAGACAATTTTGATGAACGGCTCACATGGGGGGGGGGGGGGTACATATATGCCTTCATATAGACCATATCCCCAACCATTACTTTACCCCCCCCCCCCCTCACTTGCAACTCACAGGATGGAACTTTACACGCATTGGTTAGGTAAAGTTTCTAATCTACGCCTGTTGGAGTTATGTAGGTAAAGTTTCTAATCTACGCCTGTTGGAGTTATGCAGGTAAAGTTTCTAATCTACGCCTGTTTGAGTTATGCAAGTAAAGTTTCTAATCTACGCCTGTTTGAGTTATGCAGGTAAAGTTTCTAATCTGCGTCTGTTGGAGTTATGCAGGTAAAGTTTCTAATCTACGCCTGTAGGAGTTATGCAGGTAAAGTTTCTAATCTACGCCTGTTGAAGTTATGCAAGTAAAGTTTCTAATCTGTGCCTGTTGGAGTTATGCAGGTAAAGTTTCTAATCTACGCCTGTAGGAGTTATGCAGGTAAAGTTTCTAATCTACGCCTGTTGAAGTTATGCAAGTAAAGTTTCTAATCTGTGCCTGTTGAAGTTATGCAGGTAAAGTTTCTAATCTACGCCTGTTGGAGTTATATAGGTAAAGTTTCTAATCTACGCCCGTTGGAGTTATGCAGGTAAAGTTTCTAATCTACGCCCGTTGGAGTTATGCAGGTAAAGTTTCTAATCTACGCCTGTTGGAGTTATGCAGGTAAAGTTTCTAATCTACGCCTGTTGGAGTTATATAGGTAAAGTTTCTAATCTACGCCCGTTGGAGTTATGCAGGTAAAGTTTCTAATCTACGCCTGTTGGAGTTATGCAGGTAAAGTTTCTAATCTGTGCCTGTTGTAGTTATATAGGTAAAGTTTCTAATCTGTGCCTGTTGGAGTTATATAGGTAAAGTTTCTAATCTACGCCTGTTGGAGTTATGCAGGTAAAGTTTCTAATCTACGCCCGTTGGAGTTATGCAGGTAAAGTTTCTAATCTACGCCCGTTGGAGTTATGCAGGTAAAGTTTCTAATCTGTGCCTGTTGGAGTTATATAGGTAAAGTTTCTAATCTACGCCCGTTGGAGTTATGCAGGTAAAGTTTCTAATCTGTGCCTGTTGGAGTTATGCAGGTAAAGTTTCTAATCTGTGCCTGTTGGAGTTATATAGGTAAAGTTTCTAATCTACGCCTGTTGGAGTTATGCAGGTAAAGTTTCTAATCTGTGCCTGTTGGAGTTATGCAGGTAAAGTTTCTAATCTGTGCCTGTTGGAGTTATATAGGTAAAGTTTCTAATCTGTGCCTGTTGGAGTTATATAGGTAAAGTTTCTAATCTACGCCCGTTGGAGTTATGCAGGTAAAGTTTCTAATCTACGCCAGTTGGAGTTAAGCAGGTAAAGTTTCTAATCTACGCCCGTTGGAGTTAAGCAGGTAAAGTTTCTAATCTACGCCCGTTGGAGTTAAGCAGGTAAAGTTTCTAATCTACGCTGTTGGGTTCTGGAATCTAGGGTATATATATATGTAGCGACAAACAAAGACAACTAATACTATATAAATATAATAATAACAATAAGATGTTTAATATAAATGTATACAGTAATAAGAATAATAAAAGAGCAAATGGAGTCTACAACATAAAATAACAAGATACTCAACGTCTCCCCGTCCACAGCCACAGCACAACTTCACATCCAGATCTCAACCCCACGTTCCACGTTCCACGTCCACAGCCACACTCCAACCAACCTATTCACACACTAGCACACGCTCTGGCACCCGTCACCTGACACACCTCACGTGAACACCTCTCGCTCCATGTAGACACACTCAACCAAGGGATACAACTATACAACAAAGGGAGGCTACCTGTCGTTCCAGCACACAACACACACACACACAAGCAGGGGACATGTAAGGGACGTAACATCCCTCCCCTCCACCTTCAGATCTCTTTTCCTTAAAGAGATCAAACATCTCTTGTTCCATTAGCCACTGTTGGTGCCCGAGCTCGACTATTTATTCTTCAGCCCTTAGGACGCCTCGCTTTGACCGGTGGGGACAGCGTTTGGCTTGTATCCAGCCTGGACAGTTCGGCCCAGAGTGTGGCTTGTATCCAGCCTGGACAGTTTGATCCAGAGTGTGGCTTGTATCCAGCCTAAACATTTCGGTCCTGAGTGTGGACTATGGTTTTCTCCGGCCGGGCACCAAGCTCGTGGTCTGACTATCTCAACCTATGAAGATACATGTGAGAAGCCACAATAAAGTATTTAATTTGCATAATCATTCTAAACTGCATCAGTAATACCTTTCTCAAACATTTCTCAATATAATTATATTATAATGCTTAAATAGTAAATTCCTTAACATCAACATATACACTATTTGTCATAGAAAACTCGTGATAGAATGTCTGCTGCAAAGTTTTCAGTCCCCTTGATATGTTCTACTGTAAAGGCGAACTCTTGTAGAGCAAGGGCCCACCGACAGATGCGGGAGTTGCCATAGTTGGCGCTTTGAAGAAATGCCAGAGGTTTATGATCGCATAGCAGCTTGAATTCTTTTCCATACAAGTATCTGGATAGTTTTTGTGTGGACCATACTATGGCCAAGCACTCCCTTTCTATCACAGAGAAGCGTTGCTCCCGTGGCAGTAGTTTTCTGCTCAAGAACTTAACCGGATGCAGGATGCCGTCCACTGTTTGCATCAGACAACATGCGATACCCACATTCGATGCGTCAGTCTGCAGAGAAAACGATTTTGACAAATTAGGTAATTTCAAAATAGGTTCCTTATTTAAATAACATTGGATAACCCGCAGAGCACATTCACACTCAGGAGTCCACATTACCCTTGTGGGCTTGCCTTTTAATAAAAGTTCGGTCAGAGGGTTTACGATGGTTGCAAAGTGAGGGATGAATTTATTATAGTAGTTAGCTAGACCAAGCAGGCTGCGGACTTCCTTTTTGGTTCGTGGTGTCCCGAGCAGCAAGACCTTGTCAATATTAGCGGGATCGGGTTTTTGACTCCCGCCACCCACGACATGACCTAAAAAGGTGATGCTCGGGAAACCTAAAATTAACTTGCTGGGTTTAGCGGTCAAGCCGACCTCTCGTAGTTTCATGAATACTTCTTTTAACACCCTCAGATGTTCCGTCCATTCTGTTGAATATACACATATATCGTCAAAGTAGGACACTACATTTTGTATACCTTTTAACAGCTTTCTTATAACCCTGGCGAATACGGAGGGACTATTTTTTAAACCAAACGGCAAGTAGCGAAACTGGTAGTGTCCCGTCGGTACTCGGAACGCGGTGAACTGTCTACTATCCCTATGAACAGGGATCTGCCAGAACCCTTTCGTTAGGTCAATCTTGGAGAATATGGTAGCTGCTTGTAAACTTACAAATATATCTTCCGGGTCAGGGATTACCTCTGCATCGAATTTGGTAATTGAATTCAGTTTCCTATAATCAATACATGTGCGTAAGGAGCCATCATTTTTTTTAACCATCACAACAGGTGATGAGTAAGATGAAGTACTTTCCTCTATAATACCCAGGTTGATCATGTTCCTGATTTCCTCATCCAGATTTGCTTTTAGGCTGAAAGGCACGGTGTACGGTCTTAATGTCACTGGTATGTCGGAAGTAGTCTCAATTTTGAACTCTTCAACTTTTGCCTTGCCGGGAATATCTGATATAATGTCAGAAAATTCATTCACGAGGCATGTGAGATCGTTTAACTGTTGTGGTTCCAGACGTTGGTTAAATATGATCTCTTTGGATATGTGTGTCTCTGTGTACGAAATAGTGGGGATCATTTGTTTGTCGACTTCGGCTTCTCCTGGTCCCACGAAATCTGCCTCGCTAATCACTGATGCCAGGCACCCGTGTAGCAAGTGTGTGCTGCCACCATCTGCTTTAGGCGGTTGTTCCCCGAATTTTCTATCGTGGTATTTCACGACTCTGTTGATGTGGTAAGTTTTGAGTTTTCTCCCCTTTTGGATGGTAACATTAAATTTTGTACTACGTTTTGTAACTTGGTAGGGCCCATCCCAGAAAAGGGATAATTTGTTTATCCGTTTCGGTCTGAGGACCAGAACATAATCTCCCACACTAATGTGTTTAGGGGTTGCTGTTTTATCATACTTCAGTTTTGTCTTCCTTTTAAACACCATATCATTAGCGTGCGCTAATTCCATTGTTGTCTTGAGTCTATGTCTGAGATCCACTAGATATTCGTATACTGTTCTAGTGTCTTGATTCGTGCCTTCGTCGGTAAAGAGGTGTTTCAGTATTGACATGGGCCCTCTCATTTTTCTGCCAAATACAATTTCGTATGGGGAGAACCTAGTAGATTCGTTAGGCGCTTCTCTATATGCAAATAAAGCGGCCCCCAAGAATCTGTCCCAATCGTCCGGTTCATTAGCCGCTAACTTACGCAGCATGTGTTTTAGAGATCCATTAAATCTCTCAACCATTCCATTTGAATTAGGATGGTATGGTGTAGTCTTGATGCCTTTTATGCCGAAGAACTTGTTGACCTGTGTGTACAATTCTGAGTTAAACTGCGGGCCATTATCGGACAGAATCTCCTCCGGGAAACCTATCCTTGTAAAAATTGTGCTCAGTGCCTCAATCACTGTTTCTGAGCTAATCTCCTTCAGCGCTACAGCTTCTGGCCATCTTGTGGCAGTGTCGACAAGAGTGAGGATGAATCTGTTTTTTCTATTGGTCATTTGCATGGGGCCCACAATGTCTACTGCGACTTTAGTGAATGGTGTTGTAATGATATCCATTCTACCTAATTCAGCCTTACCTGCTCGACCCGGGTATCTAGCTCTCTGGCAGACATCACAAGTTTTACAATGCATTTTAATATCTTTGTCTGCTCCGGGCCAGGAAAACTGAGAATACACCCGCGCCCTCGTTCTTCTGATGGACTTGTGGCCTGCCAAGGGTCCAGAATGTGCATTTGACATAACTAATAACCTCATGTTTTCTGGGACAATTAACTGTTCCTTGACAAGTCCGGTTCGCTTATTCTCGTATGACTTGAATAGCAATCCCCTTTTCACTGTGAATGAGATGCATCCACCTTTTGTCAATGACACCTCTTTTGTATTAGCTTTGTTCCAAAATGTCTTCAGCGTTTCGTCCTTCTCTTGATCCCTTCTGAATGTGTCAGAGTCTACATGTTGGGGCCCTGTGCCGACAATCGTGTTAACCTGTATAACGGGTTCTACACTCCCTTTATGAGCCATGGATCTGGTCACCGCATTGGCTTCAAATGATCCCGTGCCGCCCACATTACCTACAATCAAGTCTGCAACTGGGTTGTCAAATAGTGCCGCAACAAATGTGCCTCTAAGATAGCTTGTTTCGACATCTACGAAGGCCGTATGGTATTGGCGCGTTTGACCGTCTATTAGCCTCAGTGTTATGCAGTCTGGCAACTGTCTTGTCTTCTCTACTAAGCTAGCCCTACAACCAATTATGCTACAGCCGGTGTCTCTAAGCACAGAGGCGGTATTCCCATTTAGCTTACCGACCTCTAAGTTAATTTTCCCCAAAGACCTTTTGAATAGATCTGATCTATCAATGATTCCAAAGGAGCTCGACCGGTATGGAATTGCGGGGGAAGTTGCGCTCCGAAGGTTTTCACAGGTCCCACAGTATTTTTGGTTTTCCGTTATAGATGTTGTCTCGGCTAGTCAAGCCTGATCGGGATATACCTGGCTTTTGGAAGGGTACCATATGTCTGGCTTAGGGGTGGGACAGACCCTCGCGATGTGGCCAGTTCCTCCGCACGTGTAGCACGTGATCTCCCTCATGCCGTGTGGTCTAGAGTGGCGCCCAGGTGATCGGGGTGCCGTATTTTGCCGGAGTACCTTATCTGCTGTCGAACTTGCAGCGACGTATGGGGTGGTATGGGTCGCTGGCCTCGTCACTCTAACATTCTGAGTGTTCTTATAGTTGTCAATAACTTTAAGATTATCTTCCACACTTACCTTGGCGGCGTCATTCAGCCTGCCCAACAGGTCACGTGTGACGACTGATTTTATGCGATCAACAATCAGGAGGTTCACCAAGTCCTCAAACGTTTCCTTTGTCTCCGACTGCCGGACCCACGCTCTCAACGCGGCTTCTGTGTTGACTGCGAAGCTTCTCATGTCGTCGTGTGTTGGTACTAGCTGGTGGAATCTGACCCTATACTTTTCCTCGTTGAAACCTGCGTGCGTGAATAACTTTACCTTTACTGACTCGAAGTCCTGATGCAAGTTCAGTCCCGTCTCAACGAGGAAAATCTTCAGTTGTCCACTCATCTTGTCCGTCAGAAGGAGCGACCAGTCCTTGGGGTCAATGCCTTGTCTCTTTGCCTGACTCTCAAAATGCCTCACATACGCACCCAGGTCTTCGTCCACCGTCATCGCCGCCACATCCCTCAAGCGGGGTACAGGGTTACATACCTTTGCTACAACCTCGACCTTCGCATCTTCCACCCTCCTCAACTCTTCCTTCACCCACTCCGCCAAACTGTCATCGGTCAGCCCAATTAGCTTTCCCTCCTCCTTCAAATCACTTATTAGCTGTCTTCTGGCACTCCTGATAGTAGCCATGCTAAACGGACGAGCCCCCAAATGTTGGGTTCTGGAATCTAGGGTATATATATATGTAGCGACAAACAAAGACAACTAATACTATAAAAATATAATAATAACAATAAGATGTTTAATATAAATGTATACAGTAATAAGAATAATAAAAGAGCAAATGGAGTCTACAACATAAAATAACAAGATACTCAACGTCTCCCCGTCCACAGCCACAGCACAACTTCACATCCAGATCTCAACCCCACGTTCCACGTTCCACGTCCACAGCCACACTCCAACCAACCTATTCACACACTAGCACACGCTCTGGCACCCGTCACCTGACACACCTCACGTGAACACCTCTCGCTCCATGTAGACACACTCAACCAAGGGATACAACTATACAACAAAGGGAGGCTACCTGTCGTTCCAGCACACAACACACACACACACAAGCAGGGGACATGTAAGGGACGTAACATACGCCTGTTGGAGTTATGCAGGTAAAGTTTCTAATCTACGCCTGTTTGAGTTATGCAGGTAAAGTTTCTAATCTACGCCTGTTGAAGTTATGCAGGTAAAGTTTCTAATCTACGCCTGTAGGAGTTATGCAGGTAAAGTTTCTAATCTACGCCTGTTGGAGTTATGCAGGTAAAGTTTCTAATCTGTGCCTGTTGGAGTTATGCAGGTAAAGTTTCTAATCTGTGCCTGTTGGAGTTATATAGGTAAAGTTTCTAATCTACGCCCGTTGGAGTTATATAGGTAAAGTTTCTAATCTACGCCTGTTGGAGTTATGCAGGTAAAGTTTCTAATCTGTGCCTGTTGGAGTTATGCAGGTAAAGTTTCTAATCTACGCCCGTTGGAGTTATATAGGTAAAGTTTCTAATCTGCGCCTGTTGGAGTTATGCAGGTAAAGTTTCTAATCTACGCCTGTTGGAGTTATGCAGACAAGTAGAGTACGAAATAAGCCAAGGGCAGTGGGGTGAGATGGATCACTTCCTCAGAATGACAGTCTAACAATACAACTAGAAATGTGTTGAAGATAGGCACAGATAGAGGGAAATCAAGAATGACAGTCTAACAATACTACTAGAAATGTGTTGAAGATACCCACAGATAGAGGGAAATCAAGAATGACAGTCTAACAATACTACTAGAAATGTGTTGAAGATACCCACAGATAGAGGGAAATCAAGAATGCCACTAAGTAGCTTGATTAGAAGAGGATTCATTTTTATGCAGTGTTTCTTTCAGACTTTTTTCTCCGGGGGTAGGGGGGGGGGGGGGGGTGGGGAATTAAATTTCCCGATTGGGCGGACACTGGTAGATCAAGAGTTACTGTTGTTGACTTGGCTGCAAAGGATTGGGGTCCAAGATTTCATTAAGCCACCCGAACCATAGTCCGGGTGGCTCCTCTCCATGTCTCTCGACCTAGAGGGAACAGGAATGGGCGCAACGCCATTGTTGAGTTTGATAATAGTTGCATAGTCTGTATCTTGTATATAGAGATGGCGACTTGTTTTGCTCAACGTCCCGGCAAAACCAACTTTAGAAATGATCCCATGTATGATCTTGCGTCCCTTTATATCGGGAATCCTCAATGTGTATTTACCATTGGAGCGAGTCTGTCCCTGAATTTAGGGATCCAAAATTGAAGAAATTATATATAAAACTTCAATTGTGATACTGTTAATTATAGTTGGACAAACGAGTCTTAAAATAAAGCTACAGTTTTCAAGTTTCAACTACAAGTAAAATGTAATATTTTTTTCAATAATAAAATAAAAATTATATTTATTAATATGATTTATATGTTGTTTTATTGTATTAAAAAAATACAAGCAATTTTAAATGCAATATGTTGTGTATTATACAGTAATAAACTTTTTCTTTTTAACTTGAGTGGTTTTATAAAAAGTTTACTCCCCTATCTAATTTTTTTAATAGGAACAAACGGGAAGTAATTCATCGCAAAAGGCTTGAAAAGCCTATGTTATCATGCTAAATTTTTAAATAGACTGGGAGTGATCTCTCCTAAATTTTCTCGAATATTCTTATATAACAGAACGGGGGATGACACCTCGGGATATAGACATGATTTTTAATCCATTTTTAATAATTAAACTTTTTAAAATAGAATCTCGTAGAAAAAAAATTGCGCACCAAGTGAACGCCAAACAATTTGTGTATAATATTGCGGAATATTATTCGTACTTTATACATTCATAAGCAATTTTCGGGAAATCGGAAATAGCGTAAATTACTACTTCCGTTCAACGGAAATCACTCAAAATTAGACAGAACGCTGAAAATTAGATCTTTAACTTACATGTGAAATTTCATTAATCTGTCTGAAACAGTACTCAAGTTATACGCATTTGAAAAACCAAAAGTAGAATAAGTTCCGATTCCGGTTACCGGAAATCGATGAAACGTTGATACAGAATTACAAATGTGATATAATACTTGTATATGAAATTTCATCATCTAACGGTACTCATCACGTTATCGTGTTCACAGACGTACACAGACATACACACACAGACGAACGGACAGAATTCCAAAGCCCAGTTTTTCCGATTCGATTACGCATAGAACACCGAAATTTTGATAAATTTGCATTTATTAATTTTACCCGATTAAAATAAGTCCCCTATAGTCCGTATATTATGAGTACTGAGGTGTAAAACGATGAAAACCGTCAAAGTTTCATGTGATTTTTGTGCAGGATTACAATACTTCCTCTACACTCTGTATACGAGTAAGAAAAAAGGCAGGTGATAAAATTATAGCTACATTTTTAAAAACTTAAAGCCGTTTGGGAATCATCGATTACACTTATTTTCATATTTTTGTATTGAATATAAGTCGTTGAAAAGCCTTTAGAATTATTTTATCAATTCAAATATTTAAAAAAAAAAACGCCCTCAACCTCTTCTTGAAGTCAACCCGGAATAGCCAGGGAGCGTAAAACAACTAAAGTCAGAAAAATTGTTTTTCATAATGTTTTTCCATACACAATAGTGGTCTATGGTGTGTAGCCTAGTAGTTAAATAATTTAACATTCCAATGGACACAACACTCTGACTCTACTAATCCAAATTAAAAATAAAAGTGTTTGCTAAATTACTATTATATTACTATTATGTGTTTGTTTGAGTATTTCTAGCTAAAATTAAACCGGGAGTGATTTTGTACTTATTACACAAATGTTATAAAATATTCAATTTTGGTTGAAAAATATGCTTTCTGGCAAAAAAAAATGTGGAACCATTTGGAACCAACTTTTTTAAGCATATTTCCCGGCCGATAACAAATCAAAACACAGAAGTGCTCTATGTTTCTTTGTTGCAGGCCTATGGCGGTGTTATATGCACACCATCAGCACTAACATAATAAATGCTCTTTAATAAGAACAATAATACAATATCTTCACTATTACTATACTCAAACTAAAACAAGAATCACAGCATATTCTAAATAGTACACACTGAAAACACACTTTCACTAGAATACTAATTTTCTACACAGAAGCTATCGTATACTGACCTGTTTGAAAAGTAATACTGGATTTGAAGGATTCAAAAATCAAAAATGTGATTTTGACGTTTTACACTTTCTTGGGTAAGAAAATTGAAAGTGTGTACTCTTTACTGCCTGTCTGT